GAGCACAGACAGACAGACGCACAGACTGACAGACAGACAGACGCACAGACAGGCGCACAGACAGACAGACGCACAGACAGACAGACGCACAGACAGACAGACGCACAGAGACAGAGATACAGACACAGGCACACGTGCGCACAGCACCGACACCGGCCACACAGGCGAACACGCACACCGGCACACAGGCACGCAGACACGCAGAAACAAAGGCACAGGGCCACACAGGCAAACAGAAACAAAGGCACAGGGGCACACAGACACACAGACATGCCGACACCACGCAGGCGCTCAGACGCTTGGACCGACTTAGACACACACACACACAAGCACACAGGCACGGAGACACAGAGACACACAGACACACCTGCAGAGACCGAGACAGAGATCGAGCTACAGTGCTACAGATACAGACGCAGAACATCGCACAGACACACGCAGACACACGCGATTCAAGCGTGACGGAGGATGTCGACCTTCGATTCCTCATGCCGACGGACCTTACGCTGGCAAGGGAAAGCAGGTCCCGCGTCTGGAGAAGACCAGACTCTGAACTGGCATGGACTGATACTGACCCAAGAAATCCTAAAAGCCCGATAGGCGATCGCGTGGCATCTAGGAAGAAGAGCCCGAGTGGTAGTCCTCAAAGCTCCGCGAAGCCCAGGCGCAATCTCTCCGAGAAATCGACGCACTCTGTCTCTCAAGGGTCCTGGAAAGTCCTGGAGTTCATGACTTTAGAGCTCGTTTCTTTCTGCCCTACCATGGGCGGTAGTTGGCGTTCGGAATTGGCAGTACTTTGTGGTGGAAGATCCTGTGTCGAGTCGGCACTGACCTGTATAGGCTGCAACTCAGGCATTCCTGCGACAGCCTGGCACATGCAGCGATTTCTGGTGCATCCAGAGCAGCAAGACAACTGCCGCGGACAGTGACGACGGATCTCTCGCCGACTGCTTCCAGCCAGCTGCCACGAACGCTGACGCCCGATACAGCAGGCGCCAGACCCAGGCTGTCGCGGACGCTGACGCCCGAAGTGTCGAGGCAGCTGATGCGGCAGGACAGCAAGAACCTTCGCTGCGTGGCAGAATTGAGGCTTTTCGGCTTTTCCCCCTTGGTCGTTGATCGGTGCACGGACAACGGCTTCAAGATTCGTTTTGGGTTCTCACTTTTGGTCGTCGGTTCGCAGGTTGGCAATTGGAGCGTTTACTCAAGTTTACTCCTGGGCTTGCAATTACAACTTGTTTTTTTTCTGGTACTGTCTTTTGTAGTCTCACTGACTAGGTGGACCTTGCTAGTGCCAAAGTTCTGGATGATATTCGGTTCTGCTTCTTATCGCGATGGCACTACTACTACTACTACTACTACTACTACTACTACGACTACTACTACTACTGCTGCTGCTGCTGCTGCTACTACTACTACGACGACTACTACGACTACTACTTACTAC